CTTAATGCAAATGCATTATTTGGTTCAATTTCTAATGATTTATTTAAATCTGCAAGTGATTCTTCATATCTGCTCATAATGCGAAAAGTTTCTCCACGACTACTTAATATCCCTACATTATTTGGTTCAATTTCTAATGATTTATTTAAATCTGCAAGTGATTTTCCATAGCTGCTTATAGTGCGATAAGTTACTCCACGCAATCTTAACACATCTACATTATTTGGTTCAATTTCTAATGATTTATCTAAATCTGCAAGTGATTCCTCATATCGGCTCATCATGTAATAAGTTACTCCACGATCACGTAATACAATTGCATGATTTGGTTCAATTTCTAATGATTTATTAAAATCATCAAGTGATTTTTCATATCTTTTCATCATGCGATAAATTCTTTCACGAATTGCTAATAAAATCATATCGTTTGGGTCAAATTCTAATAAATTAGTTAGTTGTAAAACTAGTTTTTCATTTTCACTCATTTTACTACAGTTTAATGGTGATGAAAATGAAGAAGTATTTGGCATTAAATTTACCAAATTTGAATCAAATGTAAAAATATTTTGTTCTAAATTAATTTCATGAGTTAATTTGTGAGTATTATATTGTTCTCTTCTATTGATATCATTAATAGTTAAATTTTCCAGATCTAAAAAGACTTTCTGAATATCTGGGCGGTTATTAGGATCATGTTGCCAACAATCTATTTATTAATTTTATTATTAAATTTTTTTAAATAAATAAAACATAATAAGTAATTAATACCTGTATATATCTTAGTATATGCTTGCGGTGTTCCTTCAATTGGACTTTCTCGAGTACCATTACTAATATCCACAATTAAGCTTGCAAGCTGATGTTGTTCAATATCTTCTTTAAAAGGTGGATAACCACTAGATATTTCCTACATAAGAATTCCAATACTATATACATCTGATTTTTTGTTAAATATAAACTTTCTATTTTCATTTCTTGGCCTTCCAAAACTTTGTGGGTCCATGTATGGAATAATCCCTCAAACTTTCGACTTGAAGTTGTCACTTCATCTAATTGAAAGCCCAAAATCTATAAGTTTAATGCACTTTTAATAAACAAATATGTTGTTTGAATGCTATTAAAAATTATAAACACTAGTCTTAAAAAAAAAAAATAATAATAATAATATATACTCACGTAAAAAATTTAAGAATTTATTTAAAATTACCAGGTCTCAATGTATTATATTTTCAATCTAATTGCACTAGCAATTTGTAATGCAAAATTAATCTTAACATTCCAAGAAAGATATTTAAATAAATTTGCAAATATAATTTTAAAGTTCCACTATCAGGATATTCAAGAACAAGCATGTAATCTGTAGAGCTCGAATCTGTTTTATATGATATATTATATCTTAATTACTATTTATCTTTTTCACTAAAAAAAAATTAATTTATAATTAAATTGGTTCATTTACCTTCATTAGGGAAAGAAGTTTAACACAAGATATTACAAAATAAGTTGATTCATAAAAATAACGAAGTTGAAAACGACCTGAAAAAAAAAGTTGATCGAAAACAAATATCAATTATTGTGGATTCCTTATGATGAATTTGAAGATGTGCAAAAAAAATAGAAAGTGGTGGATTTGCAACTGTATATTGTGCTAAATGGATAACCGTATACACTTAAATTAATTCACAGATCAAACAAGAAAGAAAAGAAAGAATTCTTAATAGAGGTAATCTTGATTAAATTTTATATTTAAAATTTTTAGCAAATTAAGTGCATTTTAATTATAAGTTGAAAGCATATTGCGATATCGGTCTCAAAAATAAAACATTCTTATGATGTTACGGTATATCAAGAGACAACATTTCCAAAGATTATATTCTTGTCATGAAACGCGCCAAAAAAGGCTGTTTACGAAATAATCTACATTTCGTATCACAGATGAAATGGAAAGATAAGTTAAATCTGTTATATTGTATCTCTTCGGATCTTGAAATAATTCATTCTAATGGTCTTATTCACCGAGATTTACACAGTGGAAATATACTGCAAAAAGACTTGCAAAGTTCATACATCACGGATTTGGGACTTTCAATAATGGATAACACCGAATTAAAATTTGATAGGATTTACAGAATCTTACCGTACATCGATCCAGAAGTTTTACAAAGAAAACCATCCACAACAGCATCTGATATTTATTCATTCAGAATGATCATGTGGGAAATATTGTACGAAACAACTGTATCATATGATAATAAATTAATACAAAGAAGCCCCACGACATTACGTAGAACTGATGAAAAAAATTTTGGGACAAGGATCACAAGAAACAATCATCAGCGAAAAATTAAAAAGATGGCAAAACGACAAGAATATTTTATGAGAATTAACTATATCCAAAACAACACCTAAAAATATCGAAAACTCGAAAATAGCTGTATTTAATAGAAGCATAATTATTCCTTATACCAAAAGTAACTTAATGATTATATTTTAATAAATAACTGTTTCTTTTTAATTTGTTTTTTATTTTAGATTTGGACAATGAATCGCAACTAAATCTTAGTTTATTCAATTATAAAAAGATTATGATTTAAGATTTTATTAGCATAACCCGCTAAATTATAAAATAATATTAAAAGAATATTATAAAAATGAATACATCAATTACTTATTATAAGATGTGATCCTTTCGATTTTTCGAAATCTCAAAATCCCATCTTTATTTTCAACATCTTCGACCTTTTCCATTATGAAAAATCCTGAATAATATCCTTAAAATCTTCATTAACTACAATTGTATCTTGATTTTTAATCATAATCCGTTTCAACAATATCGATACCCCCAAACAATTCCTCAATATAACCTTGAGACTCTATTGCACTATAAGAAACAGATGCGAAATACTTTTGAAACTCATATACGATATTCGCTATAGTACAGCGTATCATATTTGATCTCATAATTTCAACCTTTTTTTTGCTTCCTTAGTATACCTAGTGGTATTAACAAAAAATTCAATCTCATGGTTATTAAATTTGGTCAAATCAAAAATTGATTTATCAACTTCGCGAGGTCAATGTTGGGCTTTTTCACTATACCTTGTAAACACAACGAACTTTTTTTGTTTGTAAATACCGAATAAATTGTTCTTAACATCTTCACAATTAAAATGCTGGAGCTTAACATTGATGTCTCTAAAAATATTAATTATCTGGTTTCTAAAAACTGTGGTGTCGGTTTCGAAAGTCTGATTTAAGGAAAAAATTGATGAGTATCTCATGCATTATCACACCATGCGTATCCTATCTTTCTGCATGAGAGACTATTCATGGGCGATTGAATGGATACGGGTCATCCACTAGCATAGGTATCCCCATAACATGGGTCGAAAAGGCCTCACTCCCATAGCGTAACTTCATCTCTCATATGTTTAACATTACGTACTTAGTAATAACTTACCTGTTTGGCCATCGTTATATTCTAAATAGTAGTACTGTATTATCTAGGGGTAGTGTTGGAATGTAAATTGGTGCGAGTATATATAAATTCAGTATGGTACGGTTGGTACCGTATGATCTGTACGGTAACTAATAAATACTTATCGGATAAATTAACTATCATAATACGTACATATTAATGATGTAATTAGAAAATGGAATGACGTGTAACTAATAAATACTTATCGGATAAATTAACTATCTAATACATATTAATGATTGATGTAATAAGAAAATGGGATGACGTGTAACTAATAATACTTGTCGGATAAATTAACTACGTATCATAACGATAAATACATATTAATGATGAATGTAATAAGAAAATGGGATGACGTGTAACTAATAAATACTTATCGGATAAATTAACTATCATAATACATATTAATGAATTGAAGTCTGGTTACCAGTCAGTAAAAAGTGGTTAGAAATTTCCTCGTGTAGCAATTGTGAGGATTTTCAACAATAGATATAAGAAAATGGGATTAAAAATTTAAACCTTTTTTTATCTAACAATTTCTAAAGAAAATAATATATTCAAAATTAAAAATCGATATTGATGCGTTCGACACAAGCCCAAGAAATAACGATATGTCAAATCAACCCGAAGTAATTGTGCTATCCGATACAGACAATGAGCCAGTGCTAGTAATTTTTTTATTTTAATAATAAACATAATGAAAAATTAATATTGTATAAGTTTATATTTTATTAAAGGAATCAACTTCAAATTCATTTATTCGATATTATGAAGTATTATTTACACTATTGCTATGGTTTGGTATTTGATCACAAATTATTTAAAAAAAAAATTAATCAAGTGGTTTTATAAATAGGATTTACAAATTTCTAGTAGCTTTGAAAGTTATCAAGACCAATCGAACCATTAAAACATCATAATCGCACATATACAAGCAAGATTATCAACACGAGAAAGATAATGAAAAGAATGACAAGCACAGCTCTAAATCCAAGTATTGACGATATTCCAAACGAGGATTAATTTATGAATATAATGATCATTCAAGTTGACATGAAGGTCAACAGATCGAAAAGGAAGCATCAGCAGTGGCGCGCTCGCGTGCTGATCATCACATGTAACCAGGTTACTAACAAGGAACAGAACTGGTTCGGCCAAACTGATGGACAGAGGTAACAACAAGAGAACAAGATGAGTATGAATTTAATTAGCTGCCTTTTCGGGACATCAGGTATTAATACTAGATTCCAATATGACTGATTCGTAAGTTTAAAAGCAGATAACGGCAAAGCAACTTAGCAACAACTCTCGAAAGTAACCAGATTCGCAAAATGAGTAAAAGAAATATATGCAATGCAACAATCACTAGGGATGAAAGTACAACATCCAATGAGTCAACTGAAACAATAGCTACATCAAGTACCCAAAACCAAGACACAGATATAAACATGAACACTCAGATGAAAACATATATCGATACAGTAATTCAAACAACAACAGCAACTATAATGCAAACTATGCAGCAATACATGAACCAACAATTCGAAACTCAGAGACAATGGAACTCAAGATGCATGGACACAATTAACCAAAGGTTTGCACAACTAGAGCAAATAAACCTGCAAAATGAAGAGAACATCAGTAATCATAATATTCAAGTCAATCAACCAGCAATTGAGAGCAACCAGCAGAATATAACAGAAACCAACAGGGATACAGGAATTTCACAAGGTAACTACCCCCATCTCCAATCATTAATGACCTTCTGATAAAAGCAAGCTTAGAGAGTCAAGAAAGTCAAACAGCAAATGAGGGTAAAACCATGTTATATAAAGTAACAGTAAGAAAGTTCCCAACAATAAATTACGAAAAAGTAAAAAAGATTCCAATAGTGCGAGGTTTTCAAAACCAGAAAGCTGCTGAAACAGAGCGTATTCGGTTATGGTGGGTTATGAATTGGACAGAGGGACAAAAAATAATAGAAATGCTCCCACAAAAACCAAGTTTATCAAATAAACTATGGAAAGCTCTAGCATTCGGATTATTTGTGAACCTACAAGAATTTACACACAAAAATCTAGTTGACAGAGCAAAGGAAATGAATGAAGATACTACTCTAGAAACATCAGACAATGGAACAATATCTATAAAGAAACGAAAGCGTAGCACAGCATTTGAGAATATATCAGAATGGCTGATGGCCTTTAAAGCATATATAGATGCAATTCTAATAATATATGAAAATCGCGAACAAGAACTTAATATATACAGAGACCATATAAATGAATTATGTCTCAGATATGAGTTCATAGCAGTTATGGGATATGACGAAGACCGCAGAGTAGCACTAGTAATGGACCGCGACCAAACACTATTGGATAGGAATATAGAAGCAGAGGGTAAGAATTTTGATGTAACAACAACTCGAAAATCCAAAGATATATGGCGTCGTCCAACTTGGGTCAATACATATTTTCATGATGGAAAAGAAATTTGTCTCAACTAGAACCGGAAGTCATGCCCGGAAGAAAGAAACTGTGGCAGAATACATGCATGTATAATATGCAAGAAAACTGGCTATACTGAAAAAACCTGCTTCCGAAAAAATCCTCGGAGCAAGAATAACAACACCTCAGCAAATGAGTAAAAAAAAAAAAAAAAAAAAAACCAAAAACCAATAACTGCGACATATATATACTTGTAAATAAAGAATAGCAATATAATATAAGATACAAATGAGCAAACAAGTGATTACGAATAGTTATAAGATACGAATAATAATCAATAATTACAAATAAACAAATAATACCCAAAAATAATAATAATAATAATAATAATGTTACTAACGTGAACATATTTAATAACAGCAACAAATCACACTAAAAGGTCATTGAAATACACAGCGCAATTCAAACTGTCTAGAGCAATTACATCATATGCAAAACCAAACCTACAATCGGTTGAGCAAACTATTAATACAACTCCTCCAAGAAGCTTCCCCTTATCACAAGAAGAAACAACAATTATAACTCAATTAAACCCAACCCATTTCAATGTGATAACTCCGATTAACAAACTAGCATTTGACTACCTAACACGTAACCATCCTAACCAGCCATTTATCCAATACCTAAAAGATGGCCTAGAGTACGGATTTAGATTCAACTTTGCAGGCAAACGAACTAAAACAATACAGGAAAATTTAAAGTCTGTTGACATAGACCCAACTGCATTAAAGAAATATATAGAAAGTGAAGTAGCAATGAAACAGATGTGCGGTCCTTTTACTCTAGAAGAACCTCTATGCTCAGTATTCCAAATAAACCCGTGTGGGCTAGTTGAGAAAAAGAACACTAATCCTATAATATATCGGGTAATATCTCACCTATCTGCCCCCGCTGGCACAAGTATAAATGATGGAATTGTCAGTACTGAGTTCACAACAAAATATGAAAACATAAATCATGCAGTAACATGGATTACTGAATATGGGAAAGGATGCTTGTTATCAAAAATTGACATCAAAGATGCATATCGAATACTTCCAGTTCACCCAGTAGACCAAGTACTACAAGGGCTGCAATACGACAACAAAATATACTTTGATAAGGCATTGGCATTCGGGAATAGGGCTTCAGGTGGTATATTCTGCAGATTTGCAGATATAATCACATGGATTGCAGTACAACAAGGGATCAAATCAATCATACACTATGTAGACGATTTTCTAATTATTTCAAACAGAAATGCAGAGCAGGAATTACAACAGTTCTTGCGTATTTTAGACATAATGAATGTCCCATATAAGCCATCAAAATTAGAGGGCCCATGCACAGCCTTAACCTTCCTTGGCATTCATATTAATACAATTAATTTTTCAGCATCAATTCCTAAACCCAAAAAAGAAAAGATACTAGCAACTATAAAAGAGTGGAGCAACAAAGAATGGGGATATAAAAAAGAAATACAATTACTAGTCGGCTCTTTGGTGTGGCTATGTCAGACAATCCCTCAAGGCAGGCCTTTTATTCAACGATTTATTAAAGCAATAGGAGGAACTAGAAAATCGAAATCATGTATTAAAATATCAAAGCCAATGAAAGCAGACCTGCAATGGTGGTCTAGAATCCTTCCAACATAGTCAGGCATATATTTTTTAGAGGACAGAGCATGGCTACAACCCAACACCAAAAACCTATTCACAGATGCATCTAATCTAGGTGGTGGTGCAACATACGAAATGTATTTCACAGCATTCAACTGGAACTCAGAGATGGATCTGACAATAAACTCTATTCAGATGCGTGAAATCCTGACAAGCTTAATAGCTATTCTTACCTTTGCACCTTTATGGAACCAAAAGCGGCTGATAATGTGGACTGATAACCAAGCCAACGCAGAAACCTTTTATGCAGGCTTTTGTAAAAATACAGCAATAAATGACATAATAGCAAATATGTATATGGCGCAAATACGAGGAAATTTCTCTGTCAAACTCGAACACATACCTGGAAAAAGTAATACAGAAGCAGACCTACTATCACGCAATGGTCATAAGGAGTACATTGCACGAAACCCTTTAGCACGATACCTACAACCCATAATCCCCACTGAATACACTAACTTAATATTACCAATTCCATCACTAACCCAGTAGGAATACATAGAAAAATATCCCCTGCTACTGCAGACCAACTGACACAAACATACTCACCACCATTAAACGAGCAAGCAGCAACAATCCTAGGAATTCAAGCACCAGGCTACAAGACATACAAAAACATAATAAAGCGTTACCAAAAACTAGCGAAAGAAAATGAATGGGTAAACACTGACGGAACTATATGGCCAGTATCAAAGGGAAGCCTAACTAAATTTATCGCATACCTGCACTTTAAAGTTGAACCACGAACTATCATATCATACTTATCTGCATTAAAACACCATCATACGATGAACCACATGGACTGGAACAACATCTGATATGACCCTCT